CAGCTGCCGCACTATTTTAGTAAATGATAATAGGGTGGGTGGCCTGGCTAGGCCTACTTGTTGAAAATTCATACTAGGGACTATCTGTGCGTTTCGTTCGGCTCTCCACAGACGACGTTCATGTGGAATTTGTGGGTGCTCTCTGCACTGAAGCTTAGGAGGCCGCTCGAGGCCGCTTCGTGTCGCGTCACTGTTTGCAGAGCTGATCCGGTCGGATTGCGGAACTAATCATAGGGGCATAGATAGGTGTTTGAAAGAGGTCGTCGGACTTTTGTCCAGTACAGGACTTGTTAAAGTGCTGCGATGCCCAGGAGGGGCATCCAGTGGAGGCTGACCCTCCGGCTTGCCACATTAGGGCTATTTTTTGAGGCGCTGGTTAGGGTTGCAAGATCTGATGGGATGCCTAAGGTGGCCTAGTTTGGTTGTAGATTCGGTCTTGCAACTTGCCTTCGCGACCTTGTCCCGCTGACCGGTTTGCTCGCGGACCTAAATCCTTATGTCCGGGACGGGGGTTTGTTCGCGCCAAACACTTTCAAGGATTGACGCGAGATGTCACTCGGCTCGGCGCGATACCGGTTTGACTTTCGGTCGTGCGAAAAACGCCCAAGGGCAGTCTGTCGTCTGCCAGATGTGCTAATGTTTGCACGCTGTTAATTTTCTGCGGGAACCGCGGAATAGTTAGGGCGTCTAGTAAATATCCTGTCTAGGAATTATAACGCGCATTCCCTGTTTGGATAGCCTTTCCCGGGACTTATTGGGTCCGACTCAGAATCTGTATAAGTGCATTCGACAATATAAGCTAGTGCGGCCTCTGATTCTAGAATTAACTATTGCTACGCGAAACGGTAGTGACCTTTGACCCAGAAACTCCGGGCGTGTTTTGTGCGGTAACCTTATACCCCGCGATAGTTAGTGGCTTCTGTAAGCTAGTTAATAGTACGATAGAGTTAAGTGACTGTCATCGTGGTGAACCAAGAAAGTGACTGTGGATAACCTCGAAAGGCCCCCTCAAATTGGAGCGGTGTCGACGCTCGGGCTGCTGCCGACGGCTAAGGTCCAGGTTTAATCACCATCAGTCACACCCAGATACACACCACATCACCATTCTTTCCCTTGCACTACACAACTACATGCGACCTGACCGACTCCGGAGGGACCAGTCGTCTTGGATCGAGGTAAGTGAACTCCGCCAAATTCCTTCCGGTCGACTGGCCGTAGTATAACGCTCCCCCATATATTTTAGTGTAATTAGAGAGATTCCACGTGGCCTTAGGAGGCCCGACCTACGTCTGCTCGAGAGGTCTTCAGCTCATGGGCCCCTGAAGGTCTGATCCTTTAAGAGAGCAGCCGTAGGCCGTAACACTAACTCATAGATGGGCGGAGGCAGTAGAGTTCAAGGGGTAGGTATTGGCCGTTAGTTTGGACATTGCGAAGGCCTTCGATCGGGTTTGGCACAAAGCGCTTCTTTCGAAGCTCCCTTCCTATAGGCTTCCCCGAGAAATATTGCAATTGGATCACCAGTTTCCTTGCTGATCGGAGCGTCAAGGTCGTAGTAGACGGTGCATGCTTTGATTACAAACCTATTAACGCTGGTGTTCCAAAAGGCTGCGTGCTATCACCAACGCTGGTTCTACTGCATATCAATGATATTTTGCAAACTGGTAACAAAGACAGCACTGGTGATGGAATATACACCGGCCGTGCCAATATTTCTCGGAAAACGTCTCCGAGTACCGGAACAAAAGTAAAGTAAAGTAAAGTTGCAGCCTTTATACGTCCCACTGCTGGGCACAAGCCTCCTCTTATTTCTGAGAGGGTTTTAGGGCAAGTAAATGTCCGCCGCGTTGCCCCAATGCTTGTTTGCGAACTTCACATGTCTTCGAGATATATTTTTTATTTATTTCTTAGACATGCAGGTTTCCTCACGATGTTTTCCTTCACCGCCGAGCACGTGGTAAATCGGCACTTAAAATTGCAATTAACAATTTCATTGGTGCCAGCGGGGATCGAACCCGAGTTTCTCACTTACTGTGAGACTTACAGCGAGCGCTAACCATCTGAGCTACCACGGCGCTACCGGAACAAACTTGTGACTGATGTCGGTTCTTTGCTGAACAAAGTTTCGGATTGAGGGCGGCTAAATCTAGTCCAGTTCAATCCCCAGAAGACACAAATTTGCACGTATACCGCTAAAAAGAACCCCTTTGTCGTATCTCCTCAGTTTTAAGGCACTCCCCTTGCTGCCTCAGCTAGCATCGGAATCCTCGGCGTCGACATATCGAATAGTGTGCAGTTTTGGGGTCACTTGGAAGGGAATGCCAAATTGGCCTATAAAAAGCTTGGTGTGCTCAGCAGAGCGAGGCAGTATTTCATGTCGGCACATCGCTTGCAACTTTACAAAGCGCAAATTCGGTCTCTCATCTCTGGGCCGGGGCACGCCAGTGTCAGCTCCTTCCGCTTGACCGCATCCAGCGCAGAGCGGTTTGAGTCGTCGACGTCCGAATTCTTTCTGATCGGCTCGATTGACTGGCACTGCGTAGGGATGTTGCATCCCTTTGCATTTTCTATCGAATTTACCACGGCGAGTGCTCTGAGGAATTGTTCGGTTTAATTCCAGCCGCCAAATTTCACGAACGCCCATCGCGTCAAAATTCACGATACCATCCTCACCATCTGGATGTTTGACGGGCCACCACTGTGCGTTTTACTAGGAGTTTTCTTACTCGTACAACTTCTCTGTGGAATTGTTAACCACCGGCGATTTTCCCGGACCGATACGACTTAGGGACCTTCAAGAAAAGAGCTCACTCCTTTCTTAAAGGCTGGCAACGTACCTGCAGTTCCCCTGATGTTGCGGTTGTTCATGGGTTGCAGTAGTCACTTACCATCACGTGACCCGCATGCTTGTTTGCTTCCTTTTCTATAAGAAAACGTACGACGAGAAAACGCAAAAATCTAAGTGCTTGATTGAGGGCTGAATATGACTATCAGGGTGGTTTCCAGAACACTCATTATACCCAAATTAATCCAATAACGGTACTTGGCACGACCACGATTTAAACCCAGGACCAAATCATGATTCACAGTAGTGCTAGTAACCACATATAGACAGACAAAATTATATACTTTCATGATATGTATTTAGTAAAAATCTGTTATTTTGACGTTACGTACAGACACTTCAATTTTATTTATTTGAATAGTTTTGTATTCTTAAAGTATGAAAGTTTTAAAAAAATTCGAAAGTGATTACTATATTATTTTGATCTTGAGGCGTCTTAAAACTCGGCTGCACTTTTAATAATTATCTTTTATAATTCAATACATGATCGTAGATATCAGTGTGATTTATACTGATGATCTAGTTAATTGGGAGTTATAATTACTTTAAATAAAAGACAGAATTTTTTAGTGTATGTATTTGGTTACAGTCGACAGCAAAGTATAGACAGCAGCCGAATTTAATCAAAATGATTTGTTAGATTCAAATTATATTTCTTTATTAATTTCAGTATCAGTTAATTTAATTTAGTCTATGTGGTTACCTTGCACACTATTTAGAAGAGCTAATATTTTAATACCAATATTTTTAGTACCATCTTGTACGTACAAAACATGATAAGATTTGCTCCAATTCCTCATTAATGAGATGTGAAAAATGGTAATTTCTTTTGTTAGAATTCTCTGAACATAACAAACAATTTTTTATCGTGTTTAGACATGACTTCTAGTTAAACTTTACACCTCAGAAGTGGTAATTATTAATTTTGCAAAGACGGAGATAGAGGTTGGTCGTAATTACGAGCTTCTGAATTTAAAAAAATCTGGTAATCTGCCTCACTTTAGTCCTAAAAAGAACAAAAATACTATATATATATATAAAAATACTATATATATACAAATACTATATATATATATATATAAAAATACTATATAAAATACTATATGTATAACATATAATTTCATAAAGTTTTAAAAATATTGTGTTCTGTTAAGAAAGTTCATCATTTATTGCGATATATTACTAAAACTAATGACATTGAAATAAAGATGCATAGCGTAATTTTAATAGAAATCGTTAAATATAATTAGAGTCAATTTAAATATATAACGTCAAATTAAACTTGATATCGAAACTTAATTTTAAAGTGAAGATAACGCATAATTAATTGAAACAGAACTTACATCTGTTATTTATAATACGATCGTTGCTGAGAGATGAAAAAATATGAGGGAGTACGTCACAAGGTAGTCGCGTTGATGCAATGAATATATCGTGCATGTGTCTAAAAACCTCGGGAATTAAACAGGGGCAGCCGTACAAGATGGGTGCAAGCGGGGTAAGGGAGAGGGGGACATTACAAAACTTGGTTTTAACCGGTTAATTCTTACTACCTAAACCGAAATTTGTGAAAAACCGGTATTCCGCAAAAACCGGTTTTGGGGTCAATGACCGAAACCGGTTTAGAATTTCAACCGGTTTCCGAGCCCTGCATCCTTGATTAAGGCAGCCGCAGATATTGACATGGACCTCGTTCGTGCTGCGATAGACGACTGGCCGCGCAGATTGAAGGCCTGTATTCAAAATCACGGAGGTCATTTTGAATAAACTTTAGTGTCATAAGAATCTATGTTTTGTTAAGTTCATTTTGGTATATAAGTGGATACATAATGAATAAACTTGTTTCAATTATTTTATATTAAACATGTGACAGAATTTATGACCTGACTAGGTATAATTAAATATAATTTAACTTTAAAAAAATGTCTTGAATTTGTATATAAAATACGAAGGAACTACCTACAAGATGGCAATAAGTTACCGAACAAAATGGTACACATATATTACAATTAAATGTAATTAAACTTTGAAAAAAAAATTTCTTTAATTTGTGTAGAAAATACGAAGAACCTTTTTCCCCGAACTAATATTATGATATTGCAAAAAGCAATCATAAATATATTAAACTACCATTTTCTAAGTCACTAACTAATTACAGAATGAAACTTGGCTAAATGATTTACAACCAGTATCCGACAATTTCTTACCAGATTCGGAACAATATTTACCAATGTCAATATCGGAAGCATTGACGTCACCGAAAACCTCTAATATTCAGCTTGATTTACTCATGGGTACAACAAGTCTCGAAGCAATTAACTACAATGGTTTGTTGCATGTGCATCAATCTAATTACGAATTAGATTTACTTTTATACTTTAAATTAAAATAAATTAATTACTTCAAAATGTATGTCTTCTTTACAGATAATATTTACGAAGATTTGATGAAACAAGGTAGTCGTCACGTTTTTGAGTTTGCAATGACAAAAGCAATACCTGAAATATTGAGTATGCTGTCCTTGCAAGGACAAGAAATTTCACCAACGGTAGTAAATCTTGTTTTAATTATCATTGGGTTGTTCTTTAAATTCTTCGACAGTTCAAACAACATTTTTGGATTACATAAAAATTTATTAAATAAATTTAATCTAAAATATACTATATAATCACAATAATTATCTAGAACTTTCTTCCAACGTTCTATAGCATTTTTAAAAAGATGAAAAGTTTTGCTCTTGCAATGAGAAAAAATCGGCGAGTGCGCATTTAATGTCTTCAATTCTATTTATATACTAGCTGTGCCCGCGGCGTAGCTCGCGTATATAGATTTTACATAAAGAATTTGTCGTTTAGGTAAGAGAATATTAAACGATTTATATCATTACTGTATCAATAAGTGGTAACAAATAAATCATTATCATCAAAGTTCTAAGTAGTTTATGATAGAGCTTCGGTGTAAACGACGTTAGAAGTAGACTTAGAAGGGGTGTACACAAAAAGGTTACGGGGGCTACTAACGTGGGAAAAAGCAACATAGAGTTGGCCATGTGCAAAACAGTCAGTACTGAGGTCCACTCTTACAACGCGTAAATTTTGACCTTGCACTTTATTTACGGTCATCGCATAACACACGCTGACTGTAACTGGGAACTGGGAACTTAACGCGCTTAAAACTGAAAGGAAAGTTACTTCTTAATAGAGGGTTTTTTGGCAGTGCTGCCAGATCAAAAAACTCATTCAGCGCTAGGACAACACAAAAAGCGCTAGATTTCATGAAAACAGCGCTTTAAAAAAGCTCTAGATTTCGCGCTAAATTAGCTACAAACAAAGTTTGTGTTTTTTATTATAATTTATAATTCAAGAATCATAATAAAGAAAACAACATTAAGTTTTTTTCTGGCAATATTTTTTGATGTATCAATACTTCGCAGGACATCGACTTATAATTATGGCAATTGCTGTCAACAGTAGTTAGTACTACTCTAAGTAACTTTTATCTTAGCTGTGCTCTAAACAACTGACTAAAACTGAATAAAGCAAAATAAATGCGTTGCCAAAACCATGAACGAAAACTTTAATGAAGGGGATTTCCCCGCTTATAGTCGTCGATAAAAAAAATCAAGTTGATCATCCTAAAGGGGAAGCCGGGAGATCCATAGCACAGGGTATCCTAGTTTGGACTCGTCTCCCATGCTCTTTGTTTTGTGGAAAAAATATGTTTGAAAAAGATAAACTGCAATGTACTATTTGTGGAAAAAAATAATAAAGGTCATTATTATTATTATCGGTAATGTGGACTAACAGTGCTGCTATAAAAGAGTTAATAACCCGCTAGTCGCTACAATTTTGAAATGTGTGCTAAATACACCAAAAAGCGCTGGATTAAGTGCTAGGTGCTAAAATTTCGAAATGCGCGCTATACATTCCAAAAAAGCGCTAAATCTAGTTCCCAAAGCGCTAAAATGGCAGTAGTGATTTTGCGTATATTATAAATACAATATCACGACATTTCGTTGCAATTTTGTTATTTTTGTTCGGGTTCCGTTGTATGGCTTCGATAGATACTAATTTCTTCAGTAAGTCTCAATACGATTCATCGGCGAAAAATCTCAACACAGCAAATCAGAAAAGTTTGTAATTTGTATAACTCCATCTATTACGTCCTTTGTGTGAGAAAACATCCTTTTTTAAGTCTCTTTTTATGTTTTAAGTATAAATATATTAATTATTATGGAACGTTTTTTTTACACACAAATCTTTTTATTACTATTTCTGAGATTTTTATGGCACCATTGAACAAATTCGAACCTACATTTTAAAATAATAATCATTACTTTCGATAGAATTAACCAATTTTAATAAAACAAAGATTAAATGTAACTTGAAGATACGCTTTATGATTTTCTTAACGATTTCTTTAAAAAAAAAAGATGTTTACTTTAGACGTGATGCATTCATATAAAAACAGACAAACAGACAGACAGACAATTCTAAAAATTATAAAAATGTACTTATTTAATTATTTTTAGTTCCCCATAATGATTTTAGTCACCAAAATAAATATACAATGTACAGAAAGAGACACAACATGTTATCATCATTTTTATTATATGTATATATTTAATTGAAGAGATGGCGCTGCTAACATCAACTTGATGACTCAAACAAAGCCACCGTTGAGCAAATTCCCTACCCATACTTCAGAATATTTATCATAACTTTTGATGGAATGAACCGATTTTAATGAAATAAAGACTAAATGTAACCCGAAGATACACTTTATAATTTCCTTAACAATTCTTATGATATAAATTAGTACTTTAAACGTGATACGTTAACAAACAAACAGACAGACAGACAGACAGACAGACAGAAAATTCTAAAAATGGTAGAAATGTATTTAATTACTTATTTTTAGTACCCCTCAATCACTTTTATTACAAAAATATAAAATGTACAGACATCTGATATTTACAGTTTTATTATATGTATAGATTTTCCTGTAATTTGTGCCACATGGCCTGAAAAAGATGGTATTCGCTTGGAGAGATGTCTAAAGAATATGGTTTGTAGGATATTATTTTCACAGTCTAGTGCACCCTAGCTAGTCTCGTACATAACGCAAACCTGGTATATTTTGCGGTGAGTAAGCGTGCATTATTGTGTGTATCACCCTATAAGCTATTCTTGTACACTTTTTACGGATGGCTTAGGCTTGATACATAAACTGTTGATACGAGGGTGACACTGAAAGTTCTTAGAAAATCAAAAACTGAACCAACTAGCAAGTTATTAGTTTTATTATATCTTTTCAAAATAGTGTCCATTTATATCAATATATCGCTGCATCCGATGGAACCACTGAGAAAATCACTTTGCCCACTCGTCCTTAGGGGTCTATTCGACGGCGTTATGAAACGCAGCCACTGCTTCCTCGGCGTCCATAAAACGTTTTTCTCGAGGTTTTTCTTTTATTTTCGGAAATAAATAAAAATCGCAAGGAGCGAGGTTTTAGCTATAGGGCGGGTGACCCAGTAATTCCACTTCTGACATCGCCAAGTAATCGATTGTTTGCTTGGCGGTGTGCGACGAGGCGTTATCGTGGTGAAGGAGGATCCTACTGCGAGGTCGTTTCTACCGAACTTTTTCCAAAACAAGTGGCAAACAATTGTTAGTGTACCACTCCAGTGTACTAACTGTTCTTCGATCCTGTGAAACAATTGTTGCGTAATGACCTGTCCTTCCGAAGAACGAAGCCACCATCTTTTTTCCCACGCTTCGACCTCTTAGTTTCAGGATCATAACAATAAATCCAGCTTTCGTCATCCGTAAGTATGTCGAACACAGCATTTGAGTCACCTCCGTTAAATCTTTGAACTATTTCACGACATCAATCAACACGACGGAGTTTTGGGCCTCTGTTAAATTATGAGGTATCCACCCGGCACAAAGCTTCCTGAACGCTAAATGTTCAGGGAGGATTTTGTGCACTTGACTCATACCGATGCCTAACCTTTCCGAATCTGCTGATAAGTCACTCTTTTGTCAGTCTCAATCATACGCTGCACAACACTCATGTTATCTTTAGTCGTCGCCGTAGAAGGCCGTCCCTCACACAGATCATCGGTGAGATTAGTGCGACCACGTTTAAACTCATTAAACCAGTTGTAAACAGTGCCACGAGATGGGGCTTCATTGCGAAAGGCCAATCGAAGTCTATCATAATTTTCTTGTTGACTTAAATGACATCGAAAGTCATAAAAATCATTGTACGAAAATCTTCTCGCGTTAAATTCCTGCTGACGTGACACAGATAATTTTTAATTTGCCGACAAATCGTAAACAAATGACAAATTAATAAAATAAATACATAATAATATTGGCAAAGAGTTCCATTTTCAAAATTTGAACTTATTTTTTTATTATATCGTTTATAAGTGGCCAGTTCTAAAAACTTTCAATGTTACCCTCGTAGTAAATTGTAACTGAAGTACTTTGGGTGAGCATCTCGTAAAAAAGTTTTTTTTTGTAATCTCATCAGTAATAGCAGAATCCTCAATCACGGCGGTCTAATTTAAAAAGACGTACATAACAATACACTTACTAATATATAACTTAAAAATACATAAATTTAATAAATTGGACTTTGTACATTGAAAATGTATGCCAATAAAGGTCATTACTCGACTTGTGGTGAAATCACAAAGCTTATTTTCAGTAACTATCTAACTATACTACTACTAAACTAATTAAAAACTTTGGAAAATACAGTTCCGAAAATAAATATGTTGTGGAATTTTTACGAAGAAAAATAATTCAAGCAATTTGTCCTTCGAAACTGAATCCATCAAGCCAGTTATAGGCGGCCGCCAGGCATTTCCGCAATTTCCTCTGTAATATATGTTACAAAATAACCTTTTTTCTGTTTTGCCCTTGCGCAGAGCTATCATGCGCGAAACCAAGATTGCGTAATCGTAAAAAATTAATGATATTTAGCTTAGATAACCGAACATTTCCGTCAACAAGGCTTTCCTGTGAGGTCTTAACAGATTTCTACCATCAGGTGTATGAAGTAAGCAGATTTAGGTGTTAGTGGCTTGTATTTTATTAAATCTACCTGACTTAACGTTTAGTATTGTCAAAGAGAATCCAAGTGTCCTCTCCGATAATCAGTTCTACTTGAAACTCTTTTCTGTGAGGACGAGATAGAAGTGATCGACAGACAGACTAACGCTAAAGTTTTCTGATTCCGATGGATTGTGGGGTAGACATTAAGACATAACTTTTCGATATTGGGAATGGTAGGCGGATAAATTATTGCAAGCAATTGCTTTTATTATTTTCGTTTCTAAACAACGCAGTAAAGCGTCACTGTCCACTGTTGTCGGTCGCCCCCTGTCGATTTTTAACTTCGAGACTTGTATTTCCCCGACAAAAGTGATCAAAGTGATGCACAGCTCTTGCAGTACTCCCTAGTAACCACTTCTAGTAAATTAGTACTCAAAGTTGACTTCATCATAAAAAATAAATTAACCAAATCGGACGAGTTTCAATATTCACTACCTAAAAGAAAGTTCGGCGAAATTTCTGACAATGTCAATGTCAACTAGAAAATAGGGAAAATCCGATAAATGGCGAAGAATTTTTGGAATAACCCAATATTTCTTAAAATAAGTAGTTACCAAATTAAGGTATTTTTGTTTGAAGTTAACACAAGCAATTAGATGGGAGTTCTGGGGTCCTTCTATTCGCAAGGAAGAAGAAAAAAATAACCTGGAAGCTGTTGAAGCTCTCGCGCGAATGGAAACTTCAGCAAAGTGGGGAGCCGGAGGAGCTCTCTTAGCCGCAAGGCTAGCTCGTCGTGTAACAAATCTTTACGTTTACCGTTTTATTCAGCCTTCTGAAGTTGATATGCAAGGACGTCATTTAAATTTTTCGGGTACGCCATAATATTTTATCTGCTTATTTGTTTTCAAAGTTTTGCGTAATATCATAATACCTGCTAATTTCTCAATCCAGCAACAGATTTAAATGTGTAGTCCCAACACATTTAAATTTGACAAGTAAGTGTTTATACTTACTACAACACGCTTTTGTTAATTCTATTCACGACTACTGGAATGGGGTCTCAATTAAAAAAAATGATCTAAACTTACTACTGACCGTAATTCATTCGTGTGTTTTACTAGTCCTAATGCCTCTCTTTGTTTGCATCATTACATCCAATTGTGACATAACAATATATCAGAATACTCAAAATTTGTCGCTACATTACCATTCCAGTGTACAGATGCCATCTAAGGCTAAGGCGACGCGTGAAGGCCAATGTGATCGACCGGCTTAACTATCGGCCAGCTTCAACATGAATGTTAGCGTATAAGTGCGCATGAGACACTAATCGAATCGGTCAGTTTTAAAGTCTGTGAAGAGAGACAATATTTCAATCCCATTTCGACTGGCCGATGGCGTTACCTATTACAAGTTGTTACTTGTTAGTCAGTCCACCGCTTTAAAGTAAAGCCTCGATCACACACCGCGAATACTTGCTGCGATTAGGCACTCGCAGCGAGAACTCGCTGTGTGTGACAGAATATTCACTGTGGATTGATTCAATAGCCGCGAGTTGAATTCGCCGCGTTTTGAGTTAAAAATTTTCAATTTTACTCTCCGCGAATGAACACTCGCTGCGAGAATTCGCTGTGTGTGCCAGAGTACACGCTGCGAATAGCCATTCCTCTCAGCGCGCCGCTCCAGACTACTCGCCCGTGCATAGATCCTTTCGTTGCTGCATAGATACGTGTTAATCAAATGAGTCAATCAAAAACCGATTCTCTATAGTGGGGAAATTACGATATAATTCGTTTCTTGGGTGTGTATAGATATAATGGGAAGCTCTAAGATACAAATAACATTAATTAAAAAAACACAAAGGCAGACACGTTCATAAAGTTGTTTAACGAATTAATTGAGTTGGAATTCGAAATAGCAACCCAAGAGCAATTGAAAAGAAAAATTGAGAATATGAAAGATACAATATTATAGATAATTCTCGTGTAGCGGGTGAGTATCACACACAGTGATACTCACTGGGTGTGACAGGCAGGCAGCGAATTGTCGCTAGGAGTTATTATTCGCAGCGAATACACTCACAGCGAATATTCGCTGTGTGGGACCGAAGCTTTAACAACACGCTTTTAATACGAGTCTAAATGGGTAAAAAGGTATTAAAATTGGTAAAAATTACCTTGCGTATATCCGCTTGATAAAATAAAATGATGTGTCTTACCTAGTTTGAAGATCACCTCGCAACCTCCCTCAATTGCGTGCACTATCCCGTCACCGCTAATCCCAGCACCACTACTACCAACACCACTACACTAAGAAAGACACACCACTGATGACAATACGATAAGTGTTTCGCGGTAGCGAAGCCTCCATAGAAGCCGAGAAGCCGGGCTTGCTCTATCAAACTGCTCAATCAATAATATCAACTAATAAAATAACAGCTTGTACATTGTTTCAAACTATATAGAATTTCCCGCGCGCTCCTCTGTTATACGCAGTTGATTAATCGTCGCGGCAAAACTGCGCGATACTGCTGTCTTAAAAAAGGAGCTGAGTTGAGCGATTAGTCGTCTCTCTCGCACGCGTAGGCTTTTTACCGGACTTTCGAGAAGACGATTGCTCCCTTTCTAACCTGTGGCAAAATCTTCTATAATGAAACATAACTACGATTGTTTATATAGCAATTAGTACGGAGCTATTAGCTAGCCCGGCTTGGGCTTTTGGTCTGAAGTTAGGGGCGCTTGGGCGATACGTTTGCAAGTTCACTACACATTTCAATGTTTACTCTGGGTGTTTACTTAAGCGAACGAATATTGCGAGTAGAAAATTTATGTTTTTTTTTTATAGATTTTTAGTGAAAATGGAGGATAATAGTGTTCCTTGTGATGAATTGAAGTGTGTTAAAGTGCTAATCGGAGAGGAAAAGGTAAAATCTTTGAAATCGGTTATACAAAATTTTAAATTTTACCACTTGTTTTTCTTCAATGCATTGTCAAGGTCATCTGTAACCTTAAGTAAAACAGTAGTGATGCTGTGACCAGGGTGGAACCAGACTTTAATCATAGGTTATTTTTTTAAATATACATGAAAATTTTCTGATGAACTCTTGTATTGTAGAATTTTGGAAAGGATGGGCATTATGGATATTGGGCAAAAATCATTAGGACAAACAAATGGATCTAATTCAAGGGAAAAAAATTGAAATGGGAAATTCAGGGAAATTACATAGAAACGATGGAAACCACAGTTTGAGATCGAATTCTCGTGTCCATTACTTTTACTTTTACCAAAGCTAAATAGTGCTTAATTTCGTCAAGTAAAAGAGTTGAACACTCCATTATAGCTGGTTTGCAGACACCAATAGCTCTAAGAAATTTCCGCACTTAGGTGTTCTAAAAACGTTACCACCCATACTAGATTTTTTTCCTGTATTGTGGAGGTAGTAGGAACAATATTTGTAGGCCATACATATACTTGTACCGTGCGGGGTGGATTGTGCTTCAACCTCCTCAGTGGTGTTAGTTTGAGTGTCGTTATGTCGAAGTGCAAGTGCAGTGCAGTGACTGTAATTACGGCAGAATTGCTGGAGAATTTTAGCACTACACTCAGTGACCTCAATGAAGCGGTAGCGTCATTTCAGGCGATCAGATAATTGAAGTGAATTTAAAAGCAAATCTCATTCGACATTATTCTGTGCGATTAGAATGGCGCCCCAGCATCATAAATACTGCAAGGTGCAAGGATAATTAAAACAGCTTTTGCGAGTGAGTACGGAATCGATACTTAAAGTCGTTGAGGAGCTATTTAATTTCACTATTCCGCTTGGCATTATGCCACAAGCGTGGAACAGAAGCAAAACTGTAGAAAAGATCTTATTAATCAAGAAAGACGATAACGCCCTTATGAAGAATAGCTAATTTCTCTTTTGAACTGCGTCCACATTTGTTTTCGAGAGCCATTTTTTACGTGGTAGAGCCATGCTGCAACCATATTACTGGTATAGTTGTAGCACGAATGGGTCGTCTCGGCCGGGAAAGGGCCACGCTCTCACAGAATACCAGCGTAAAATAGCAGCTAACGCTGCTGTGTTTCCTATGGTGAGTGTAGAGCACCGGAGACCCTTTTTACTGGAAACGAGGCATTCTATATTAGCCCTCACGGGTTATACCGCCTTTGGTATTTATCGGTATCGAGGTAATGAGTAATTTCCATGTTAGTATTCTGAAGTACCAACGCATCTGTATTTTGTTTGTGCACAAAATCTGGACCCTATAGCTGGCGCTGTGGCCGATATGGTCGAGCCATTTGTAAATTTTATATTTAAAAATTTACGAAAATATCAAGTCTCTGAGAAGAACGTTTGTGACATGTATACCCGGGTTGACTGGAAGAGAATGCTAAATAGTTACTAAGTCCGCTTTTTGTAATCCTGTCAACGAGGTGAACCCAAATTTTAGCAGATTGAATGGAACATGTATTTACGTATATATCTATATATAATCTTTCTTTACTTTTAGGAGCCGTACATGGAGCAGATTTAATTGCGCTCTTAGGAGATGCGCTAATGTTACAAATAGCTCGAAGGCCTGCTTCCGATAGCGAAAAACGAATTTCATCACTTTTTCGCAAACATATTGCTAACTTTGTAAAATTTGGGTAAAAATTAATATTTTATAAGTGTATAAGGAAACGTATAAAAATTATTCCTTTTCTTGATAATAATCATTATTTGATGTATATTTCAGATATCCCGGAATAAATAATGAATGGCAACGGTATAAACCAGGAGATGCCTATGTGCAAGATATTCGTGATGAAGTTAATGGAAATTATAAAACATTGTCTACTTCTAGAGATGTTGCATTTTGGCTTAAATATTTGCCAATTCTTTCTAATCTCCATAATAGTAAAGAGCATTCCGAACAAATAACATCGGAAAATGGTAATTTACAAATTTGTATACTTTTTATTTCTAACAATTTAAGGGGCTACCCGGGCTACAAGAAATATATAGAATAGGTTCATAATGATTTATTGCTGTTGCACTATGCCCCAACGATCGAACAAGACAACCGTGAGAGAAATATGCAGCTTGGACTATAATATACATATAAAAAAGACTGTAAATTTGTTTGCTGGATGTCTAATATATGTAATGGCGGTATAACTGGGAAATTTTAGTAATTTTGGAAGGTTCTTAGTTTTCAATATAATTCGTTTTAGGAAAAATACAAAACATGGGAACATAACAGTGGTAGATATAGATTTTATCTTCTAATGTATAAAAATTACTATAATAAATAAAATATACTAAAGTAAAAATATACTATTTATGCGTTCATCAGATTGCTTTAAAGTTTAAAGCTTTGTCAACTTATTGCTTGCACTTGCGCGAAGGTTATAGGCACAGTACAATAAACTTACAGTAGATGGCGCGCGTATCATTCCGACAGATTTATTTCAAAGTTATATATCATTCAACTTCAATGAATAATATCTTTCCTAATTAAACAATCTAACTCTTCAAATTTAAAGCGTTATTTCCACAATTATTTCTTCTGTGGCCGCGCCGGGTAACAGATAGTGATTATATAAATTATTATTTTATGTAAAGGTAAGGGAATGAGAGGAAGGGAGAGAGCTGAGGAATTACGTTCATATTTCTTACGCAATCCAAGTAAGTCCATTTGTTGCCTATTTATTGGAGAGAAAGTAAGAAAGTAAAAGAATTGAAAAATACATTTTTTGTAAAGTAGATAAGTAGGTAATACAATTTGAAAACAATTTATTGTCTAAAATTCAAAGAAATAATCAAAAAAATAAAATCAAAAAACTTCTTCTGTTTTGAGACGGTTTTTCGTCAAACTTATTAATTTTTTAATCTAAGGAGTTTGTATCTTCGTCCTAACTTTTCTTTTAAACTTGTCAATTGCTGAATTAGATATAGTTCAGGGCGCTCGTCGATTCAATGAGCAAATATCAAATTTAGGAAAAAAAACAAAACGAAAAATCAAGTCGTGCATTAGTATAAAATTCTCACCTACAAAATCAGCGAAATGGGATACATGAACAAGAAATATATCCTGGACGTATTGTTTGGTTATCAATCTCCTAGTTCTGTCGGTAATACAAACTAATTCTGTATTCGCTTCCGTTAAAATTAGTGTTGCCCAAATGCAAGAACAAGACGAGACTTAGCAAGTCTTGGTCTTTGTCTTGCGCCAATACACCTGGTCTTGGTCTTGGTCTTGGTATTGCGCTCCGAGTCTTGGTCTTGGTCTTGGTCTTGCAGCAAGAGTCTCGCAAGTCTCGCAATGACCTATTACCCTATTATTATTTATTAAACGTTACTTTAGATCTTAGAACAACTTAACAGAGTAGGTACATATTGAGCTTGAATTAACATAGCCATAGTAAAGACCACCCATATTAATAAATGTCTAAACATTTAATGAGAAATTCGAAAAATCAACTGACACCGGGTGGGGTTTGAACCCACGACCTAAGCGATCCGTGCCGATGCTCCAACCAACTGAGTGTCCCACGGCCACAGGCGTCAGTTTCTTAACAAACGTTTACATTTTAATAAGCTTACATGTGCTAAAACATGGTTAAACATACATATAAAAACAAATTAATGGCAATAACTACACTGTATTTTAAATAACATTATCTCTCTAGAAAGATATTGATGGACCCTCACCATATATGAAATGGAATAAAAGAGTTATACAATATACAATTTATTTAAATAAAAAATAAAATACGATGCAAATTAAATGACTTCACAGTATGTACACAACAGCTTTGACATTACTGTTACTTTATATTTATTCTTTTGACAAAGCATTAATACAAAGTAACCATCTGGCTGACTCATTACTTAACCTATTTCTATGTTTTCTAATTATTAATGATGCTTTAGAAAATAATCTCTCAGCAGGTACTGAAGTTGCAGGTATTAAAAGAAAATCACGGGCCATCTTCGATAAAATCGGATATTTTGTCTCATGCATCCTCCAACAGTCTAAAATGTCTTCAGAGATGACGACTCTGGGTTTACCTAGGTACCCCTTCAACTCGTTAATAACTAAGCCTTGAAGACAAGATCCAGATCCATTTTTACACATTTCAAGTGTTTTAAAAGTGCTATGGTGTCCATATTTATCAAATGTGTGACGACATATTCCAGCACTTTGTGTTTTAAAAGCACACACTTGCAAAAGTCGAGTTTTGCAGTGAACTTACTGAACATGTTTATCTTTTAGGTAATAATAATAACAATAATAGTAAGTAATTATTATAAATCCATATAGTTAATTTTATAATAATTAGTTACTAGAATAAATTATTATGATACCTACCTATTATCTAATTACAATATTTCTTGCGAGATCAGGATAATGTATTCGTGTCCATTTTGAGCACCCGGAAACTTATTTTATTCTTTGAAACATGTACTCTGTGGCGGCAATCAAACAGTGTTAAATGTAGTGCGTGCGGCGCGGCGGCGACGATTATGCGATATCAATAGTAGCCGCCGGCACGTGTATCTTGACCTTGTACTTTCAAATAGCTGCACAATTTCTTTGACAGGTCAGTATCCGAGCTTTGATGACGCCGACAACAAGACGCCGCGCACTATCAAAGTGCCGATGGTCAAAACTAAGGATGCACTCTTTTTTATTTTAATGGATATTTTCATTCGCTATGTATATTTATGGTATTGTTCGTAATGCGCATAAGTTCAATTTTCCAATTTTTTTAATTAAAGTCGCAAGAGTCTCGCAAGCTTAGTCTTGTTCTTGCGCAAATCTTGCACGGTCAGTCTTGGTCTTGGTCTTGCTAAAAAGAGGCGGTCTTGTTCTTGGTCTTGGTCTTGCAAAAATGCAAGAACAAGACCAAGACTGCAAGACCAAGACCGATTTTGGGCAACACTAGTTAAAATGCCTGCCAAAACTATTACGGTACCTAATAAGCGGAAATATAAAAGCCACTGTTTCAGCAATGCAGTACTAAATAAGACGTTCTTCAGGTAGCCTATATAATTGACTTCCGTCGTTCCCATACAAAGACTTTCAGGACTATATCCATGCTTCTAACTCACCACTCTGAAACATCCTTAAGCCTACTTTCTATTAACATACAGCCTCGCGTTGTCATTTGCTATCCTTACTGCCAAAAACTCCCGTCGCGACTCCGTCACTAGGGCTGCACTACTGAATGAACAAATAAATATCTATCTAACTCATCGTTCTGAAACATCTTTAAGCCTGCTTCTTGTTAGCATACAGCCTCGCAATGTGATCGTTTAAAATTCACTTTCGCGAAAGATTGATAGCGCAATTGGTGGGTACCTAGTTTTACGTTTCTCGGCCATTTGATATGTAAATGTATACTTTAGAACAAACGACTTTGCTGGTGGGTCGCACGTTTAATATCGTATGAAGTATAGAAAACAGTGAAAAATACCTTCTTATTTATTCCAAACTTTCACGTGCATCTAGGTGAAAACCGTCTACGCGGCGGTATGTTTGCAATGAGTGGAGTATCGATTGTGCTGTTGCTGTTGCTTTGTGTGGCTGCGATTTTGCTCCATCGCCATCGAACACGACGAGAAATGCAGACATTTGACAGCGACGTGATGAATCATCATTGAACACTGTTATATACTTATGAATAATATTTTATAGTGTGTACATAACATGTTAATTAAGAAATAAACGTGTGATATTTATAATTTAGCCTTTTAATTAATTAGCTTATGTGATCAATACTCTTTTATTGCGGTGGACTGATTATCGAGTTGAAGGTCCACGTCTCAACAAATTTTAATCATGGCAGCACCCGTAAGCTATGCAAGTAATAAAATATTCTTTACACATTTAAATAAAATTGAAGCGTCTATCTGCTATATTGAAATAACTGCATTTTATTGAGCTGAGGTATTTTATCCCCAAAATCTTGCGAGATTTTTTGAGATATATAAATATTTGTAAAATAAATTATATTTCAGGTATCTTTAATCCAAGTGATAGATCCAACGAGCGGATCGCTAGATAATAAATAAACTTTATCTCTGTAAACCGGTGCAGTGAAAAGAGCTTCAGTGTCGTAACTTATTGTTATAAGGCTAGTTTGTCAACAATATTTTACAATTTGCATTTGTAATTATTTTGAGAATATATATTTATGTATTTGTCTGTGTATGTAACTATTTGAGGTAAACGCTAACTACAACAGAAGAAAATCATGACAGCTCAGGGGCTTATTGCACGCCTGAAATGTCATATACGCGAGCGACCCGGGTTCACTCCCGCCAGCACCAATGAAATTGTTAATTGCAGAAAACTAATTCACGACGTCTTCGGCGGTGAAGAAAAGCATCATTTGAAAACTTGCCCATCTGAGAATTAGAAAAAATAATTTAAAGTCTCGTAAAGTCCGCAACACTCACAGCGGTAACGCGGCGAACGTTTCCGTACCTTATAAAACCCTCTCTGAAATGAGGGGAGGCCTGTACCCAGGAGTGGGAAGTGTAGAGCAACTTTACTTTTAATTCTTTTAACTACATCCAATCGCTGCTGTGAAAAGTAGGTGAAAAGAGCTTCAGTGTCATCGTAACCTTTTGTTGTTAGCCAGTTTGTCTACATTCTTTACATTTGTACTTTTTTTGTGATTATATATTTATGTATTTAATACTTAAATTGCGTAAATAAGCAGAAAAATGTACTGAATTCGCAAAAACTGTGTTCAATGTAACGACATGAGCAATCATATTGTAATTTAAAGTATGTAATGAGTGTAAAATGTACCTACACTTTCCTTACTGTTAGTTTTTTTTTTTAATAAAAGGGTTGGGCAAACGAATATGCGGCTCACCTGATGGTAAGTGCTACCGCCGCCCATAAACAACTACAAAACAAATATTTAAAAAAAGATTAGGCTCCTTTCTTGAGGGTCACTTGAGGATTACTGGTCCAAATAAAAAATAACTTTGGTGGTAGTCGATTCCACGGGTAAGTTGTGCGAGGAAGAAAACATGTAAAAAGTATGTAACAAATTGTATAAATATTTTCAGCATGAATAAATTGTGTTACCCATAGGGGGTAGGCAGAGACTACGAAGGGACTACATTTGACGTGGTCCTGACATACACCCGTCACTACATTAGATTTGATAGACCACAAATCCTCGCTAAAGAACACCGATGAATCTCGTGGCTATTGAAATCAAAAAACATCCTAATTTCAATAGAGAAGATGGCTGGGTGCTACCATCTGCTTGGGATCCCATAATTAATAAAATTAAATTCCAACCCAACAATTAAAATAAGTTAATATACGCGATAAAATCCGTAAAACTAGTTTTATTTAAATGTGTAGTGTTCACGTAAATAGAAGAAAACATTATTTTTCAATAATTTTATCAAATTTAAGACGTTAAAGTTACAGCCTATATGCATCCCACCGCTGGGCTCACACTCCTCTCATTTCTGAGAGGGATTTAGGGCAAGGTAGTGTCAGCCGCGCTGCCCCACTGCGTGTTGGCCATTGATATACAATATATCAATGGTGTTGGCGAACTTCACATGTCTTCAAAATATTTTATTTTTATTTCTCAGACATTCAGGTATCCTTACGATGTTTTCCTTCACCTCACGTGGTAAATCAGCACTTAAAATTGCAATTAACAATTTCATTGGTGCCGGCGGGGATCGAACCCGGGTTGCTCGCGTACTGTGAAATTTACAGCGAGCGCTAACCATCTGAGCTACCACGGCTCTTATCAAATTTATTTGCCCCCAATGCGAGATTTTGTTCAACAAAGACTCAACTTCAGACACAAGTTTGTTTCGGTACTGGGCGCCGTTTTCCCGAGAAATATTGGCACGACCGGTGTATAAAGCATCACAAGTGCTGTTGTACACATAGCAATGAAACAGCGTTGGTGATAGCACGCAGCCTTGTGAAACACCAGTGTTAATAGGCTTGTAATTGGAGAATGCACCCATGGAGGTGATCCCATTGCACAATTTCTCAGGAAGCCCGTAGGAAGAAATAATTAAATCAATCACGTTTGGCACAAAGCTGACCGAAGGCCTCCTTTATGTCAAACTAACAGGCAAGGGCAGTAGAATCCAATGGGAAGTCTTGGACTCTACTGCCTCTGCCCATCTATGAGTCAGGTAGACCAGAAGATTACCAGCTGATCTGACCCCGACGAAAACCATATTGGCGGTCACTAATAAGCTGGTGATCCTCAAGGTACCTCATAAGCTGGCAGTTTATAATGACTTCCAATATTTTGGAGAACAAGGAGGTGATGGTGATAGGCCTGTAGTTAGACCACGGAATATAAAAAATAACTTGTTTTTTATATTCCGTGAGTTAGACGGGTCTTAGCGGTCGCCTTTTTTGGGGATCGGGTAGACCAATATTATATTTAGATCATTATTTATATTATTAGTCTTTTTATTTGATTTTTAGAGCCAACGCGTGTTGCTGAACCTAGTGCAACATGTATAAATAACATTTTTACAAATGTTAAGTCGTTGCATAAATGTATAATTAAAAAAATGAGATCTGATCACTGCGGACAATAGGGTATTACATCCATTTTCAAAAAGTGTTTTAAATGACGCTACGCTTCGCCTGCCGGTACGACGCTGCTACTCGAGAATCTTTCTTCCCCATCGGTTGTCGGTTCTTCGAGCTATATGGCCTGCCCATTGCCACTTCAGCATACTAATTCTTTGGGCTATGTCGGCTACTCTGGTACTACTGCGGCTATCCTCGTTTTTATCGTCTCGTCTATCACGCAGAGAAATGGCGAGCATAGCCCTCTCCATAGCTCGCTGAGCGACTTTGAGCTACCTCTTACGGCATGCAGTGAAGGACCACGTCTCAGTTCCATAGATCATCAATGGCAACACACACTGGTTGAACAATCTAGTTTTTAGGTTTTGAGGTATGTCTAACGAGAAGATGTGTCGTAATCTCCCGAACGCTGCCCAGCCGAGTTGAATCCGTCGATTGACCTCTCGGTCGAAGTTGGACTTACCTAATCGGACTATTTGTCCCGGGTAAACATACTCGTCAACAACAAGCTTAGTGCTCCCAACAACTACCGGCATGTGTGACATGGACATTAAACATGATCTTTGGCAAATCGAAAGTGAGTGATGTACTCGCCATTGACGTTAGTACGGTATCCTTTCCAGTCCAGTAGCTTAAAAACGTCTTCCAATGCAGCGATGAAGAATTTTGGGAATATTACGTCACCCTGTCTTACACCTCTCTGCAGTTGGATAGGTTTCGTGCTTTGGTTCTGTACTCGGCTAGCCATCGTAGCCCTACTGTACAAACACTTCAGCACTTCGATATACCAACAGTCAACTTGGCACCGCTGGAGGGACTGCCGCACCGCCCAAATTTTGACGGAATCAAAGGCTTTCTCATAGTCCACATACGCAAGACAAAGTGGCAGATTGTACTGTTCGGTCTTCTGTACAATTTTCCGAAAGGTATGTATGTGGTCTATGGTGCTAAAGCCTTTTTGGAAACCGGCATGTTCGGGAGGCTGGAAGTCGTCGAGTCTGCATGCGAGACGAATCGTAATGACTCTCGAAAACAGCACGTAGTGATTTAAGAGAGCGTTGTCGCTTTTCTTGAAGAACAAGACCACTGCACTTCTGCTCCACGCCTCCAGAATAGTACCTCCATGGAGGGCGGAATTAAAGAGCTTCTCAAGGACTCAAAGTACCAGTTTTCCACCCGCTTTCAGAAGCTCTGCTGTATTTCCATGCTCACTCGTAGATTTGTCGTTTTTAAGGTGCTGGATAGTCATTCTAATCTCGCTCAGACTGATGTCCGGGATATCATCGGAATAGTGTCGGATAAGACTTGCTCTTGGATCGTTACTCACACTTACGTGTTGCTCCAACTATGACGTGTACAGCTGCCCATAGAACCTCTCAATCTCACTCAAAATCTCAGGTGTCTCGGTAACGATGCTGCCACATTCGGTCTTCAGCTTCGACAGTTGACACTTTCTGGCAGACAGATCTCTGGCAAAAGACTTTGGAGCCCTGGTTCCGCTCGATCGCTTCTTCAATACGAGCAGTATTAAAGTTGCGTAAGTCCCGCCGCATGTATTTGGAGATCTGTGTGTTCAGTTGCCTGTATGTTATTAAACCTACTGAAGACTACAGATTCATTTCCCGTCCAACAGCCATGAGAATAAGATTGTGATCGGGAGTTTTTGTGTTCTTCTGTGGTGGGTCTTGCAAAACTTAGCGCCGACCGCATGGACAGTTTCCACGAGCTTGTCATTTATATCGTCCACTGCATTGCAACCTTCTAGGCACTGAAAACGGTTTCGTAGCTCGAGCTGAAAGGTTTCGGGACTTTGCATTAGAGCACGAGGGGGACGGAACTTTGACTTCATTAGACGACACCTCTCCAACTTAACGTTTAGGTTCACTGTGCCTCTAACCATTAGGTGATCGATACCGGTTTTCACTCTCGCGATCACTGAGACATCACTGAACAGTTGTCGTCTGGTCGTCTAATGAAGTCAATCTCATTTTTTGTCGAACCGTCGGGGTTCGACCCGGTCCACTTGGGTTTCGTTGCCCTAATCTAAATTTCCCTACTTTCAGCTCATATTTCTCTCTTGTGCCTAGTTTTGCATTAAAGTCTCCCATTAACACCGTATAGTGGGTTTTGGAGGAATGCATAGCATCGGCATATGCCGAGGTTGGTGCGGAAACCTGTATGACCTTCAACGAATACCGTTTGGTGATTCTGAGTATAAGGTACGCAACCCTCGTCGATACACTCCCAATCTGTACAACGCTGTTAACGAGAGCATTGTGGACGATAAATCCGACACCTCCTTGGGACAGATGGTCGCCCCCCCGGTGATAGAACAAGGTGCTGGATGCGAGGATTACCGTGTCCTCCCCCTCTCTTCGGACTTCGGCTAATCCTATAATATATCAGCGCAACTTGTCTATCTCTTCTTCCAGCTCCAGGATCTTCTCGTTAGTTCTCAGGGTGCGTGCGTTATAAGTTGCCAGGTCGAGTCGTCGTAGGTGGCAACTAAACTTCCACCGGAGATTCTTAGCACCCCCTGCCCCGCCGTTACCATGTTCGCCCCCGTTGCCAGGAATAGTGAGGCCGCCGGGGACTGGGGGCCGTTTATTATTGTCATTGCTTGTGGGGGGTATATTGCCATAGTTGTCACGCTTGGCGAGCGGGTTGACAACCGCAGTTTTTTTATTGCTTTTGCTGTTATCAGAAAGATGCTGCTGCCCATCTTCTGCTTCAGTTTCCCTCTGTCGCCTTTTACGATACCCACGCGGGAAGATATGGGGTAGTATGTATTCTTACCCGCCACTTCTTACATACACTGGACGTTGCGTATCACATGTGACCAAATTAAAAATCAGAGTAGGCTGTGTGGTATAAGACCTTTGCCTGTCTTTATTGAGGAATCGTAACAATAACAACAAAATTGCTACCTATACTCTTTGGTCTTTGCTTGCTTCACATTTATTTGTCTATGATTAATATTATTTTGTTGAACTTGAATCTTCAATAATAAATATTTCATGCATACATACTTATTTATATATGCATATTTCCCATTATTTTGTGAAGAATCTGGATCTGAAGAATCGTAATAATATTTAAATCAAACCAGATAACCATCTGGAATTTGAGATTGAGAATCAATTGATTTTATCTAGAATTAGCAAATCAGGTGATATTTGTGGTGAATAATATGGCCTTAGCTTTGCAAAGACGTGCTAATGTGAGTTAACTACTGTTCATAATCTTTATGTATAGCAACATGCCTTGCAATATTTTAATTTACACAGCGCAACCTTAAAACATTCGCATACATTTTGTACAAACATTCAATACTATTGAGGCTGATTTGTTCGTATAGATTATGGGTGACAAACGAGCATACTGTTCACCTGATGGTAAATGGATGCTGTGGTCCATAGACACCTACATTTATCCTCGATTAGGAATAAAAATCCATGCATTGTCATGTCTGAGGACAAGGATGGAATGCCTCTTATCCAGTAAAAATGGTCTCTAATACTTTACACTCACCATATGAAACATAGCAGCATTTATAAATAAATAGAGAATCCTTTACACAAGGCAGGCTTGTTTCAACTTCTGTTAGTGATAAATTAGGGTGGGGTCTGGGTATAAACCCTGCGACACAATATTCTAATAGATACGCTATAAAATAACATGTTAACCAGTTCTTAATATCGTACCTATTACGACAGATATCACATTACAGTAACATGGATCAAATCTTTTGATGTCTGAATTCTAATATAAAGTATATAGAATATTATATTTAAACAGCAATAGACAGTATTCATGCTAATTGAAAAACTTTTTATAGGTGGATTATTTTATCTATATATTTATTACAATATAGGCTCTAAATAACTACCAGCTATTCTAGTTGTAATCATAATATTAGAGATTGATATTTGTGCTAATAAATGAGCGTACATTTTTAAAGCCTTATTATAATCCTTTCAAAAGGATAAGCTTGCTATCCAATATCATTCCTAAATTTTTGAATAAATGATATTTTTCTAATGGGACTACATAATGTCCTCCTGACAGAATTTCAGTCACAGCAACAGAGACTAGTTGTAAAAAAGGGTCTAATCACTTGTGTTGATGAAAAAAAATGTTAAAATTGATTTTGCATCAAACTCAATTAAAACAAAATTCAAAGTTCAATCACAAACTGTTTAACAATTCTAAAGATTAGACTAGACAGACAAAATGTTTAAAAATGTTTATTCATGTCTTATTAGCGTTTACCTTGTAGGGGCGGCATAAGAATATCCACTACTCTATATTATCCCATGGGTGTCGTAAGAGGTGGCAGAGGGAAATCAGGAGATAGGCCGCAGCACCTTCCTAATAAACATGGACAAAACAAAGATCATGTTTAATGTCCATGTCACACCTATGTCGGTAGTTGTTGGGAGCGCTAAGCTCGAAGTTGTTGACGAATATGTTTACCTGGGACAAATAGTCCGACTAGGTAAGTCCAACTTCGACCAAGAGGTCAATTGACGGATTCAACTCGGCTGGGCAGCGTTCGGGAAACTACGACACATCTTCTCGTCAGACATTCCTCAAAACCTTGTAACGAAATTATACAAGCAGTGTGTGTTGCCAGTGATGACTTACGGATCTGAGACGTGGTCCTTCACTGCTGGCCGTATGAGGAAGCTCAAGGTCGCTCAGCGAGCTATGGAGAGGGCTATGCTCGGAGTTTCTCTGCGTGATAAACTTAGAAATGAGGACCATACAACCATATAGCTCGAAGAACCGACAACCGATGGGGAAGAAAGGTTCTTGAGTGGCAGCCTCGTACCAGTAGGCGAAGTGTAGGGCGACCCCCCACGAGATGGAGTGACGACCTGATAAGACATGCAGGAAGTCGATGGATGCAGGTGGCTCAGGACCGTGCTTTGTGGCATTAATTCCTAGTAGCATAAATTAAGAATTCCTAAGAGAGTCACATTAACTATATCATAATTGATTTAAATCGCTGCTAAAAATTTGTTGATTGATGACATCATATTCCCTGGCTTAAATGAATAGTAGGGAATTGCGTACATGTGAAATTTACAATTACTGATATATATTTCTGATTATATTTGAGCCCTGAAGAACTTTAAGTTCAGTTCGGCAGTAGATAAGGTTAATAAGTTGTCACGTTTGGCTATTACTACTTCTTGTGTATGTTGTTTAAGATAACTGTCAAATCACTTAATAATAGCTTTGACAATTTATAGAATTAAACACATGGTAAGAGTCCAGTTGTGTCAAAATTGAAATTTGTCCCAAATTTTGTGCAAATATAAAAAAGACGTAATTAATCTGCATACTACGCATTCTCTTATCTGAAAAAAGAAATTATGTTTTTCCAGCAACAGATTCATGATCTTTCTATCTTCGTTAACCGCTGCTACATTTGAATGGTATGAAGATTCGGAATAATTACATGCTATAGATAAATGGCATTCAATGTTAGTCCTCCTTTGTGGCAATGCATTTGTAGGCATCTTTATTAAAGATTGTGGCAAGTGTCAAAGGGTTGTAGTATCAGGTTTAAGAGTAATAAGATACATATGTATGAAGTGGATTATGTTACCTTTTTTTCACTAGCTCACAAAGTAAAATATTGTGGCAACACTGTATATAGCATTTTTATTGTTATTGCAAATTTAATTTCTCGTAATATATTTATCAACTTTGCAGGTGCGACTGCCTCCTGAAGTAAACAGAATACTTTATGTAAGAAATTTGCCATACAAAATATCTGCAGAAGAAATGTACGATATATTTGGAAAATATGGTGCCATTAGACAAATTCGTGTGTAAGTATAATACGTATGTTTTATTTAATATTTGTATCAATGTGCTTTAATTTCAAACTAAAATGAAATAAACTTACTCAACTTATTTACTAAATGGTTGGACCCCTTTTCTGGCTAGGAATCCCTCTAAGTAGGTACCAATCTCTTACGTACTGATATCTGCAAGTAGATGTGCATGCTGTGTTCCTGTAACATACTCAATTTTAAAATTAAACTTATGTTCATTCTTAATTGTATCGTTTATTATAAAAATAAATAAATAATAGAATCTATGTTATGCATTTCATTAGACTATTTTTGAACTATTTTTTTTTATTTTAGACTGCTAAAAAAAGTATTGATATGACTAAGTATCTATACTTTTAGAATACTCAAATTAATATTATCACTAAACAATTTGAGTAGTACTCATATGTGTAGGTATATCAATGTTTTGGTGGTATCTGAGCATCCCTACACCTGAAACACCCAGATGAAATGCAAAATCAACTATCCATTGTTTAACTATTAGTGTCACTTTAATATTGTTAAAAAAACCTTTCAACTTATAGTATACTATTTTTCTTTTTTTTTAGTGGAAATACACCTGAAACAAGAGGGACTGCTTTTGTGGTGTACGAAGATATATTTGATGCTAAAAATGCGTGTGATCATTTGTCTGGTTTTAATGTCTGCAATAGGTATTTAGTGGTATTGTATTATAGATCAAATAAAGCCTTCAAAGGTATGGATATAGAAAAGAAACAAGAAGAATTAGATACATTGAAAAAGAAATATGGTATTTCAACAGAAGAACTTCGTAAATAGTTGATATGATTATACATAATGAATGCTAACATTCATAGCAGTTGAAGCCATGAATGCCGAAAGATCACCAATCACTCGCACTTACAAACCTTGTGGGGAGCAGTGATGCGCCCATTGATAATGACTAGTAATAGCATTTAAAAAGAAAACATTTTTTTTATTTTTAAGAAATAGTTATTACTTTTTATATTTAGTGTAATTAATACTAATGTATAGTAATAACATTTAATAATTAATAATAAAAATATTCAATGATAAAAAACCAACTCATTCTTTCCAAACTATTCTATTATTCCAAATTATTCTTTCTTCCTTATTTCTATTAGTGTAATTAAATCTTCTTCTATCTATATACACAAATAAGATTTTAGTGTCTGTTTGTTCTTTCAAAATAACAGCTTTTTACTAAATGCGCATGTAAATATATACGGTACTAATAACAAAAAAACTATTTCAAAAAATTTTGTCTGTCTGTCTGTTTCGGCTAATCTCAGAAACGGCTGGAACGATTTTGACGGGACTTACACTTGCAGATAGCTAATGTTATAAGGAGTAACTTAGACTACTTTTACTTTAGAAATATAATTAGGGGTTCCGCGCAAAAAAAAAAATATGAAAAACCCTAATCTAATGGTAATAAATTCCACGCGGGCGAAGTCGCAGAGAACAGCTAGTCGTAAATAATTGTAGAAGTAGTTTAATTTATGATATTGTGATGTTAGGATAAGTACCTAAGTATTAGAGGTTACAAACTGAGAAAAAATAACCCGATAAAGGATATTAAAATACTAGCAACCTGCCTTGACTTTGCTTGGTCCATGAATGTGGCTCATAGATAAACATACCTAGTCAGGCCATAAATTCTGTCACATGTTTAATATAAAATAATTGAAACCAGTTTATCCCTTATGTGACCATTTATATACCAAAATGAACTTAAGAAAACATCGATTCTTATGACACTATAGTTTATTCAAAATGACTTCCGTGATTTTGAATACAGGCCTTCAATCTGCGCGGCCAGTCGTCTATCGCAGCACGAACGAGGTCCATGTCAATATCGGCGTCTGCTTTAATCAAGCATGTCTTGAGTGACTCCAAATTGGGATGAGGCTTTGAGCACGCCTTTTCCTCCAAATGTTGCCATATCTTGTAATATAACGGATTCAAATCTGGACTGGAGGAGGGCCAGTCTTCGTGCCGGATGAAGTCGATTTCACGCGCCGCCAGCCAGTCTTGTGTGGTCTTCGCTCTATGAGCTGGCGCCGAATCTTATTGGAATACCCAGTGCCTGTTATTGAACATGGTATGAGAAACAGGTTCCACAAGGTTCGTCAGGACTGTATTTTGATACACAACTGCATTCGTTTTTACACCTTTCTCACAAAAATGTACCTCTGTTAAGCCCCAATAAGAAACTCCCAACCATACCATGAGCGAGGATGGAAAATGACCTCGTTGGACACGCGGAATACGGTTGCTCGCTTCTTCACTACTGTGTGCTTACACCTTATCATTTTGTTTGTTGTAGCTCTTCTACGGTAAAAATTTTTTCATCCGAAAAAAGAATATCCCGATATTTTTTTCCCGCGTACAGCTTCAACAAAGCGCGGCATCTCTTCAGTCTCAGGTCCATTAGACGAGCATTCAAACGATGTCCTGTTCTTCGATATGCCCGAAGCACTAAGCAGGCCTCCGTCACTCGCTCAAGACCCTGCGTTATATGCCTACCCTTTTGCGTATCGCCCACGATACAACCGACATTGGGCTGCCGCACGCCCGCCTGAGCGCTTGCACCGTACACGTTTCCCGCGCTTAGAACTATACTACACGGGCGATTCTCCCGCCGCGGGAATCCGCTCGACAAAGTTCCCGCAACCCAGCAAACTACACGGAAAGTAGTGTAGTTGTACCACTTCTAGACCACCTGAGTCAGACGTGGTTCAACGACGTTCGTCGACGCCCGATCCTAAAAAAAAAAAAAAAAGGTTTTGGCATGCTCTGATCACGAATCCGCGGTCCATTTTTGTGTAGAATGCACGGTTCCAGAGATGTGTAGATCAATTAGCTAATATCTAATTGATATCCGGTAAGGGCCTCCACCGTCATCAATTAGCTAATATCTAATTGATATCCGGTAAGGGCCTCCACCGTCATTAGCGTCCCATTGTTGTTCCTATTTCTATTGTTCTATTGTTCATTAATCACCTTCATTGCAGCGTGTGCGTCGACTATACCAGTGCTATTGTGTTATAGTTCTTTGTTCCTAATTATACAACGCTAATCTGAATCATCAATAAAACACATTACATAATTTTGTTACAATTTTTATTTATAAAATACAAAATCTTATTAATTATTATCTATAAAATAGGAGCGAAACATCTCATCCACTAAAATATCGTTGTACAATGTGTTCCTTGTAAATATACTCGTAAAACTATGTATTGAACATCCTTGAAACTTGTATAGCAAATACATTAAGCAATATTCGCCACAAACTGAAGTCCACTCATTCTGAATCCTATCAACATTCCAGTTCCATCTTTTACAATTCCTTTTTAAAAACTCTAGATGATATCGTACAGGTGATCGTCCATATGAATCAAAATATTGACCGACGTCATTCGTATCGATATATAAAGCTACCCAATGTGACCCTGGTTTATCATCTGTATCCAAATTACATATTATATACGTTGGTACGTGGGTATACATAGGCAGTCTATTAGCTGCATAAACATTATTTTCTAGACTGGGGTGAATCTTTTTCAGATGTTGTTGTACATCTAGTGTATCCATGATATTACTGCTATTAGTAGATTATTACAGTACCTAGCTACTCAATGAATAACATAGGAATGGTCAATTATAGTGATTTCTACATATTAAATTGCATTTTTGTGATATACAAATCGTACTTGAGTCATTGATCACCAAACAAAACACAATACGAAGAAATGTTGAGATAGGCAACGGAAATGTGAGATAAACTGATATGTTTCTAAATATTAAATTGCATTTTTGTGTTATACAAATCGTACTTGAGTCATTGATCACCAAACAAAACACAATACGAAGAAATGTTGAGATAGGCAACGGAAATGTGAGATAAACTGGTTGACGCATAAAGTAATTATCAACTCATTACGGAAATACTTTAGATTAGAATTTTTACGTACTGGTGGTATATAAGACCAACAAACGCAGTCATCGAGTTAGTGTACGGTCGTTTGGCTACAGTGGATCTATCAATAGTACATTTGTGTTACTTCAATACACCAAAGGCTATGGATGTAAGTGTTTATTCTATTGACTAAATTCCTTTTTTTCTGTTATTTTCATGTGTGTGTATTATTTTATTTAAATATTGTGTATGTATATGATTAAGCCGTGGTAACTCAGATGGTTAGCGCTAGCTGTAAATTTCACAGTACGCGACCCGGGTTCGATTCCCGCCAGCACCAATTAAATTGTTAATAGCAATTTTAAGTGCTTATTACCACGTGCTTGGTGGTGAAGGAAAACATCGTGAGGAAACCTGCATGTCTGAGAAAATTTCGAAGGCATGTGAAGTTCGCCAACACACATTGAGGGAGCGCGGCGGACATTTCCTTGCTCTAAAACCCTCTCAGAAATGAGAGGAGGCCTATGTTCAGCAGTGGACTTTAATAGGCTGTAACTTTAACTTTTTTAACTTTTATGATTAAGTGTTAACAAATTGATATTAACATGATAACTGTGTTGTTGCAGAAATCATTGAGCTTCGATGAAGATACCTATAAACAGTATTACTACTCGCCACTCTCCCCTCAAGAAGAGAGTGATAACCTCGTCATTAATAATAACACATGCGATGGTGGAAAAAGAAAATCGCAATCGATTGATCATTTTTTTGAAGCTGAATCAAAAATAAAAAAGAGGAAGCTGTTATCATCAACCGTAGCACGAGCCGCTAGAGATGGTGTATCATACATTTCTACTAATTCTGACGACGGAGACCAAGCGACGCATCTCATCAAAATTGAAATGTACGATATGAAGAAGCTATCCAAGATTCCAACTACTGATCATTGGAAACATGCTTCCACGAGAATTAAATATTACGTAAAGACTAATAAGGATAGCATCTACGACAATACAAACGCCCTCGTATACAATATAACAAAGACAATAGCAGAAAGTGAAAAAGTTAAAAAATACTTTTTTAACAATGACAGTCATTAGCTGATCATTAGTGAATGTGATTCTGTTTACTTCAATTACAGGAAGACAAGAGCGGAAGGAAGAGATGAGTGTGGCATACGTGTACAAAACACATCATTGAATAACAAAACTACAACACTGAGTGGAGAAGAAAACGAGAAGAGTATGCAGTACTCAAGAGCTGAATATCCATTCTTCAGTTCAAAATCTAGCCGTTTGCTTAGTTTCGAAAACTGGCCTCTAGTTATGCGACAGAAACCTGAAGATCTTGCCGAAGCTGGTTTCTTTTATACTGGCCATGCAGACGGGACCAAGTGTTTCCATTGTGGTGGTGGTTTAAAAGATTGGGAAGATGATGATGATCCTTGGCAGCAGCATGTTCAGTGGTTTAGTCAGTGTGCTTATGTAAAATTTCAACTCGAACAGTGTTTTGTATTAGATTAAATAGAAGATTTATAAAGAAATAAAAAAAATATATTGCATACAATTTGTTTTATTTAATTTTATAACGTTTCACATAGTTACATACACACAAAATGCATTACACATAACACATAAAATCTAACACACAACACATATTATAACCTTAACTACTATAGTCTACAGTAACATTTCTGTTTTTATCTATCTCAATAATATTATCAAACTCAGCATAAACTATACAGTTAATTGTTTGTATTAATGAGGATTCAAATCGTACTTCTATTCTTACACTACCATGCTTTATGAGATTCCAATGAGTTGATGAGTTAGCTGATAAATCAGGAGTTAAGTCAAATGCTAATAGACAGTAACCTTTGCCATACTGTTCACAAGAGATTCCATTTCCTTCATTAAGAAAGTGAATACCAGTTCCCGAGAATAGAGTATGATATGCTGATGTAAATATGCTATTATTAAAAGATGGTTGCAAAGCTTTTGAAGGTATTTGTTGACCATCAATATATAAGCTGAAAGAATTAATACCATAGTTTTCAAAGTTAAATGGATTTTTAGCAAGGGAACCATTAAATGCAGAATTGTTCACAAATCCAATTATACATCTTTTCGGTACCTGTCCTAAAAATATATTATCAAGAGTTTTTCCTTGAACACCTGAAGGAATTGTTAAAACTTTTACTTCAGCTCGAGTAATAGGATATTTAGCAGTGGTAGAAGCTAAAACTTTTTGATGTGCGAGTAATACACTTGGATTAATTCGTGCTCGTCGCACAATAAGAGTTGCGTCCGTAATGCAAACTTTAAACTTTACATCGTTCGACCCAACAATTAAATTAAAACTCTCTCTTGATCGAACCAATTTAACACTCATTTCAACACCATTAATTAAAAATTTATCTTGGTTAAAAATGTCACCGTGAAGATGACCAATCATTTCTATTTCCTTACTTTCACTAATCAATTCCTGTCTTTTAACAAATCCTATGTTTTTACCATCTGTAGAATCCATTTTTCCTGCTGTATCCTCATACCAAAGACTACAAGTAAGATGAGATTGTTTAGCAGCAGGGGCATAGTTTAAAAGGGTTTCCATGTATGCTCGATATGCATAGGTATTATTAGGTGGTGATACAAGTTTTTGGTTTAAATAAACATCAAGTTGACTAAAAAGTGAATGCAGCCAATTATTTACAGGTGCTACTATTGTAGTAGATACCAAGTTAGTTGAATCTTGATTTAATACTTTTGCCTTTATGTGGAGTAATGTATGAGACAAATCTATGTAGTCATCGCCGGTCCCAGGAACTTGAAACTCGATAGGTCCATCATCACCAAGAGATGAAATTGGTTTATAATGAATCCACAATCCATTTTCAATGCTAGTTTGTGTAGACGGTAGTGCAAACAAATCCAATTCTGACTTAACGCACTCGCAAGAATGATTATGAAGGAAAGACATATTTAGTTTGAAAATATATCTTTGATATTTTTTGGTTTTAGACTAAGTTTTTTCGCAGCTTTCACTTTAGCAGTTAATGGTGGAATGAACGATGTCAATCGTTTTCTTTTAGTTTTATACCCAGATCCAGTCATGTTAAATTGATCAATTTTCTCATCAGCCTTTCGTTTTAAATTCGTACTAACTTGCTTTAGACGATCTTTTATTGAGGCTTCCATAGGACGGGCTTGAACCATATCCGATAAAAGTCCTACTCCAGCGCTTAATGCCTCCTTACCAATCACTCGAGCACCACTTGAAAGTAAAGGTAAAACTGATCTGAATAACCCCCCTAAGAAGCTCCCAATACCATGACCGCGTTGATATGGTGAACCCTTATAAATTACTCCAACTCCTGATCCAGCTTGATGTGTATAATAATTTTCATATGGACATTTATGATGATCACGAAGAGAATTCATTATTATAATTTTCGGAAATGTAGTTTAATACACACGGTTCCAAACTGGAATGGTATTTTTTGTCCTGTACTCGATCTTATAACTATTTCCAACGTATCGAACTCTCTTCGCATAACAGGTAAGTAGTGAGGTTGAGAGAAAACGTGCATTTTATTTGCACCATAAATGTATTTTGTAGGATCTAATGAAATGACTCTTAATAAAGGAGTCATAACATCACCCACAATCTGAGGATCGATAATGTCGCAATATAGAAATAGTTGAGATGGTAACCCTAAGTGTAAATTAGCAGGACACTTTCCAAAATTTCTCTCTAGGAGATTTTTATTTGGTTCATAACCTAGCTGTAAACTTAATTTGGGTGATAATGTTACGGATGTTATATTTTTATCCAATACCGAAATAGACACAAATTTTGTTATTTCATCATAGCGAAATTTCAAGTTCTCTCCGATACCATTTAACACTCTTAAAATATGCTCAACGTTATCATAGTTGGTAGCTGGAATATGTTTTTTGTAGTACACTGTGGATGGCTTATCTTCATTAGGCATTAACATAGATTTTGTAATGTATATAACATTTTCATGGTCTTGAACAGTAAACATGGTACATGGATATTGAAACTCGACAACTCCAACCGACCATTCACCTTCTAATTTTATAGCTTTTGGTAATTTCGTTGAAAAATTTGTGGTCTTGTTATCAGGAAAGTATTCCATTGAACTATTGCTGAGCAAAGTTAAATAGAAACTTTCTTTATTCATATTTCTTTTAAACTAGAAGCTAAAATCCAACTGTTAAATTTATCTGGATAACCTTTCCACTTCACTAATACTTCTTTTCTGTTACCTGAATAACGAGTGTCAATTATTTTATCTATTTTATGTTGTGAGGTGGGGTTGTAAGTGATTTTCTGTAATTCTCTTTCATAAAAAGTACCAATTATTGGTTCATTTTGTAAATCTGTTATTGTATAAACAACCCATGGAGATCAATTATTGAAGATATAATAAATATTTCATCACTCCAATTTGATTCATATCCTTTTTGGAATACATGTTTATATTTAGTTATTCGAACATAATCACCCACATTGAAATTTGGTTTAGGATTTTCTAAAGAAAGTTTTTTTGACCGTCTATCATAAAGATTAGTCCAAACTGTCATAATATTGTTGGAATTTACATCACATGGGCACATCTTAATACTAGAGTGAAAGCTGTGATTATAAGAGTATATTAAATCTTGTAAAACATCTATATATCTATAAGTATTATTATGAGTGAAATAACGCCACATTTTCATTTTTAGTGTTCTTTGAAATCGTTCAACAATACTGGCCTTAATGTCAGGATTGTTAGTGGTATAGTAATTAATCTTTTTGGATTTAAAGTATTTTTGTACATCTTTTGAAACAAATTCTGTACCTTTATCGGATTGTATGTGAGTAGGTGTTAAATTACTTTCAGTAAATATACTTTCAAAACATTCTTTAGTTGTTTCTGAGTTTTTCTTTTTCATTGGTCTTGCAAAAGCATATTTACTAAATACATCAATAATACAAAGTATATACTTGAAACCATCATTATATTGAGAATAAGTTCGCATATCACTTAAATCAGCTTGCCACAGTTCATTAATATTTGATGGAATGTACCTATTACGCGGGAATTTTTTTCGAATGGGTTTATGTAATGTGTATGTTTCTTGTGATTTTAACCATTCCTTTACTTGCTTTTTATTCATTTTACCCTTCATGGCTTTTGATAATTTATCAATACTACCAAAACCAGCGGGATTAGATGGATCATAATAAATCCTGTTAATTTCTTCTAGTACGGAGTCCATTTTTCCCACTCAAGTCCTTTACGTATTTTAGTTGTAGACTTTTTATCTCTACTGCACGGTGTAGAAAACTCTTGAACTTCAATCTCAGAGGGTTTGTTCAGATCTTTTGCTTGAAGTTGGTTAATAAACTCACATCTCCTTGGATTTCCAATATAAGTAAGTGGTACTTTAATATCTTTTAATGCTTCAGCAAATCTAACCCACCCTACCGGATCACTTCTTTTTAGGGGTCTTAGTGAATCATTTATTAAATCAACAATATTACTTCCAGGAATTTTTTCACTATCAATTATGACTGTACCTTCGTTATCCCAATGTATTTTACTTTTACTTGTTTCAACTAAGTTTAATAATAACTGCCCTTTTTTATGATAAGTTTTTGGTATTAAACTGAGTATTTGAGCTGGTGTGTAAAGTGGATTTTCATCATTTTCTTTACTTTTAATGGATCGATTCTCCTCCAGCAAAGATTCAATATCAACTGAAGTTTTTAGATCTCTATCTTTATTTTTAAAACCAATTTTTGACTCATTTGAATCTTCATTAGATGTATCAGAATAAATTGGTAATTTGAGTGGTTGACGATCCTCTTCGGTAAAATGAAGGTATCTTTGCAGTGTTTGTAAATATAATATCCATTTCTTTCGGTCTTCCGTCTTACTATTCATAATATTTTGCATTTCAATATCTAATCGAGATAAATTACTATTAACCTTATTTTCTTGTTTTAATTTTTCAATCAATCCAGGTTCGATAAGTATCATTTTCTTTGCATTTTCCATGTTAACTGGCTAGTCCACTCACTAATCCACTCAATATTGCACCTAATATTGTTGGTAAGAAAGCCCCTCCTTTTTGTATAATTATATTTTTTCTTAGTTTATGTTCACACTTACGTACTAGTTTACGGAGTATGTTTTTATGTTTATTCAATTTTTGTTTATCCTGATCTTTAAGAGGTACTTTTCCTTGTAAAACGTTATGAATACACTCACAAATACAGTTAATTTCTTCTTCATCACACGTTTTAAGTAATGGTCTTTGATATTTTGGTTTAAGCGTATGCAAAGCGGTTAGCAAATGTTTATACGTTGTGAGTCGACGATGCATCATTTAGCAATGATTTCAATTGTTTGATTCTTGGTGTATTTAAACTCTTTTGTGGGGACGTAGACTGTACAGAAACCATTAAATGGAAAGACATTTGTCTTGATACGACAAAAATCATTGGTATTCTGTTTTAAATCTACCATTAAATATCCATGTGCCTCTAGAGTTGCATCCCTGTAGGCATTTTCAATGAATTTTGGGTTATCTGGTGATACTTGTCTTGCTAAATATCTTATTTGAGTTTTATCTCGAGGGTTTTTAAAATATATTATATAACTTGAGTTTAAAGATATGTCTCTTTGTCCTTTACCCTGATGAAATAAATTTTGTGTTAGATAAAATACACTAAGATTCCTGTGATGACTACCTTTTGTAAATATATCCACAATTCTTCCATCGGACTCTCTCATTAGATCATCAATAATAACAAGATGTGGGTTTTCACCATCAAACATATTAAGATTTGGAATTCCTTGATGATAGTTAACATTTGGTAAATTATATAATGGTTGCATTTCATCAAAGCACCATGTGATCTGATTAAAATCACAATTACATATTTCTGTAACTGATTTTATGAAATTTGTTACAAAATTTGACTTCCCACACCCACTTGGTCCTGCCACAATAGCAGTGAACGGATGGATAAAGTGAAACATAACACACGTCTAAAGTTCAAAGGGGTGAAATAAAAAATGAAAGTGTTGGTGTAAACAATTAATATATATTCCAAAAATTATATAAAACAGAATTATCTGTATACTATTTCTAACACAATTAGTACATCATAATTTTACAATTAACTCAACCTCAAATAAATAGAAACAACAATTAGTACATCATAATTTTACAATTAACTCAACCTCAAATAAATAGAAACAACAATTAGTACATCATAATTTTACAATTAACTCAACCTCAAATAAATAGAAACAACAATTAACTTAAATTATTTACAATAAAACAATGTTTAAATATGTAATAAACTACGTCATATTATAGTATTATCATAATTTTACAATCAATATAAATTTTTCTTAAACGCAGACATAAAAGTAAAAACTATCAACACTTAACGCAGTTTATAATGACCCCAAGCTAATGTTTCAATATTATTATCTAAAATATGTCTCTTTGTGTCATTATATGATAAACCTATCTTATTTAATTTTTGTGTGAAAATTGTGTGTTTAATTGATTTAAATCTAAGCATACTATAATATTGCACTTTTTTATTAAATAGAGAAGACTTATAACTATTCATTGTCATCTTTTTAGTGATACATTTATTTACCCCTTTTGCCTTGGCTATAGTCTTATTCTCTAAGTTAAAAGCGTACATTTTGGATCGTAAACCCACAAATTCTTTCATGATTTTACCATTATTTTCATCTTTAAAAAAACCTAATTTCTTTTTATTTACTTTTGGATATTCAAAAATATTATTTGTATCATAATCTGAGGTATCAAAGTATGATGAAAGGTCAGGTTTTATATCAGTGTAAAAATCATTTGTAAATATATGATATATTAAACTATCCGTATCTGTATACAATAATTTGATTTTACTAAACTTTT